ATATTATAATTTTATGATTTTTAATTAATTTTTATATTTTTAAATAATAGGGTATATTGTTAGGGTTTATTTTATTTTTATTTTTAAAAAAGGGATATTTTTATCTTTAAAACGGGTTAAAAATTTTTATAAATTTGGTTTCTTATTTTTATTAAGGATTATATTTTTGGATAAAAAAATTTTCAAAAAATTTTATTTTTAATTAACTTTTGATGGATTTATTTTTAAGGGTTATAATATTATATTTAAAATTTTTAATATTTTATAAGATTTTCTTATTTTTATAATTATTTTATAAATTTTATTTATTTTTCTTATAGTAAATAAGGATTAAATTTATTTTAACAATTATATTATAATTTTATTATTTTTATAATAATTATATTTAAATTTTTATTTTTTAATTAAATTTTTAAATATTTTTAGGGTTTCTTATTTTTATAAAATTTTGGTTTTAAATTTATTTTATTTTATTTTTATTTTTATATTTTTATAAAATTTTTAAGTAATTTAATTTTTTAAATTAAAAACAAAATTTTTAATAAGAAAAAAATTTTTACTTTCTTAACATTTTTTAAAAATTAATAAAATTAATTAAGGATTTCTTCTTAATTAATTTTTTAAATTAAACGCAATTAAAATTACTTTACCAGCAAAATACTTTATCTTTTTCATTAATAAAAAAGTCTTAAGTTTTAATTTTCTCACTTTATATTTTTTAAGGGGGTTTTAAGGAAATGGCAAATTCGGGAATTATTCTTTTTAATTGCATTTTTCTTTTTTAAATTTTTATAATTAAAAAATATATATTATAATTTTAAAAATTATATAAGGATATTAAGGGTTTGGTTTATGGGGCAATAATATTTTTCAAATTCAATAAAAGGTTCCAGGTAAAAATATCCTTGGGGTTTTTAAAAATTTATTATAAGGGATTTTAAAATTTTAATTATTATATTTAAATAAATTTTTTTAATTTTTCAAACTTAAATTGATTATATTCTTAATTTTTTACTTTAATTTTTGGATTTTATTATTTTTCTTTAATTTTAAGAATTAATAAAATTTTTTTCAAATCTTTTTCAAAAAATTTTGGGAATTATTTTCGGGCTAATAAAAAATTTTAAATTTGAAAAAATTTTTTTTTAAAATTAATAAATGTATATAATTTTTTAATCATTTTTTAACTCTTAAATTTTTATCAAGGTTTATTCTTGGGGAAAAGGAAATTTTTTAAAAATTTTTTCCATTATAATAAGTTTTTAATTATTCTTTATTTTTAAATATTAAAATCAATTATAAATAATTATGTTTAAGGGATTAAAAATCAAAAAAAAAACTTTTGGTTATGGATTTTATAATTCATAAAATAATGGGTTTTATTATGGGAAAAAAATTTTGGGTTTAATTTAATTTTTCTTTTTATTTAATATTTTTTAATTTTGGATTTTTTATTTTCTAAATGATTAAATAAAATATTAAATTTTTTTATATGGATTTTTGATCTCTTGGTTAAAAATTTTTAATCCCCATAATTTCACATTATTAATTCTTTAAAATTTCGGGATGCAGGGCATTACTTTCATTCACCAATCTGCATTCCCATTTCATTCATACCCAATTCATTCATCATTCATTCATCATTCTTTTCATTCAGTCAATTCTTTTCCCATTCATTCACTTTCATTCATTCATTCATTCATTTCAACGGGTCATTCATTCGGGCGTTCTTTCCCATTAATTCATTCATCATTCTTTCATTCATCTTTCCCTTTTCTTTACAATTCATTCATTCATTTCTTTCATTCACATTCATTCATTCATTCATCTTTCTTTAATCATTAAATTCTTTTCATTCACATTTCATTCATCATTTTTTCATTCATTCTTTCCCATTCTTTCACATTCATTCATTCTTTCATTCATTCATTCATAAATTCATCATTCATTCATTCATCATTCCATTCATCTTTCCCTTCATTAAATTCTTTCATCTTTCCCATTCATTCATTCATTCATCTTTTCATTCATTCATTCCATTCTCATTCTTTCATTCTTTCCCATTCATCATTCTTTTCATTCACCAACCCCCCCCCCAAACCCCCCCAAATAAAAAACAAACCACCCCCCTTTTCCCTACCACCCCAAAACCACATAAAACCATAAAAAAAACCCCAAATTCCTTTTTAAAATTTTAAAAAACCCCACCAAAAACCCCCCACCCCCCCAAACCAAAACCCACCCACAAAAAACCCCAAAACCCCTTTTTTCCCCTTCCCTGAAGCCTAGATCACACCCCTAGAAAAGTCCAGAAGGATTCTCGAAAACCCAAACCACCCCTTACAGGGGGTTTTTCCCCCCCAAATTTTTAAAAAAAAAAAAATTTTAAAATTGGGCCCCAAATCCCCCGGTGCAGTTTCAATACGATCTATTTCAATAAGAAATTAAAGTAAGGTTAAAATCTCTTTATCAGCGGAAATGTTTTTTCCCTTTATGGGAATCTGTATTGATTTCATCAACAGGTTTAAGTTGAACGGTTGGTTATTTTTAGAAGGGAATTTATTATTATAACACGATTTGCTTCCTTTTCCTGACCCTAAATTCAGCTGAAGTTCACCTTTGGGATGAAGGATTGTACGTTCATACATGCCAAACAACCAACGTGAAAACATTAAAGCAAACAGAGCTCTACTATCAGAAATGATATCCAAATACAAGTATCAGATTGCTGGTTAAAAATGTGCACCCCCAATGAAGACATTTTGTCCACCAAGTAGTTCCCTATTTTCTTTTTCTAGACCAAACCATGCAAACCTTATTTTTGTGCAAGAAAATCCTAGAAGATAAGTTTCCAAAGCACTCAGTTCAGCTGTGTGAAACCTGCAAACATGCAACATTCAAAGTCACTTCGCTCCAAATGCTTCCTAGTTCTGATTAAAACTGGAACCTTTTTCTATCTCATGTCAACATTTATAAAACAAAAACTAGATGATTCAGCTGGATACAGAGTGGCCGTTACAGGTTTATAGAAACATATGAACAGCTGGACAGGAGATGTAGGCACAACTAATTATTGGCAGGCTGAACAGGCTGGTGGCAGGCTGAACGGGCTGGTGTAAGGCTGAACAGGCTGGTGTAAGGCTGAACGGGCTGGTGTAAGGCTGAACAGGCTGGTGGCAAGCTGAACAGGCTGGTGGCAGGCTGAACGGGCTGGTGTAAGGCTGAACAGGCTGGTGTAAGGCTGAACAGGCTGGTGGCAAGCTGAACAGGCTGGTGGAAGGCTGAACGGGCTGGTGGAAGGCGGAACAGGCTGGTGTAAGGCTGAACGGGCTGGTGTAAGGCTGAACAGGCTGGTGTAAGGCTGAACAGGCTGGTGGCAAGCTGAACAAGCTGGTGGCAGGCTGAACAGGCTGGTGGAAGGCTGAACGGGCTGGTGGAAGGCGGAACAGGCTGGTGTAAGGCTGAACGGTCTGGTGTAAGGCTGAACTGGCTGGTGTAAGGCTGTTAAGGCTGGTGGAAGTCGGAACGGGCTGATGTAAGGCTGAACAGGCTGGTGTAAGGCTGAACAGGCTGGTGGCAGGCCGAACAGGCTGGTGGCAGGCCGAACAGGCTGGTGGCAGGCCGAACAGGCTGGTGGAAGCCTGAACAGGCTGGTGTAAGGCTGAACAGGCTGGTGGCAAGCTGAACAGGCGGTGGAAGGCGGAACAGGCTGGTGTAAGGCTGAACGGTCTGGTGTAAGGCTGAACAGGCTGGTGTAAGGCTGAACAGGCTGGTGGAAAGCTGAACAGGCTGGTGGCAGGCTGAACAGGCTGGTGGAAGGCTGAACGGGCTGGTGTAAGGCTGAACGGGCTGGTGGCAAGCTGAAAAGGCTGGTGGCAAGCTGAACAGGCTGGTGACAAACTAGAAATGGGGGAAATGGCTGAGCATGTAGATGATGAATGAGGAGGTTAGTAGCATGTTTAATAGGTTGTTTGTAGGCTAAAAATGCTGGTGGCATTCTTGAACAGGCTCACCATGGGTGGTTTGTGGTTGTGGTAAACTGATCAGGAGGAGCCCAGGTTGAAACCAAAGTCAGAAGCCTTGAGAAAACAGGAAGGGCAGGGCAAGCAAAAGAATACAGGATTAGAAGGCATTGGACACAATCACTGGGATTAAGCTTTAACAGGTAATGAGACAATCTGGCAGAGACTGACTGAGATGGCAGGGATTCGTAGGCAGTTGCAGGTGAAATATGACCTTTTTTGCGAGCTTCAGGTGAAGCTGTTTACCCCATGAGCAGGAGGAGAAAAACAGCCAGCCTGCCTGAAAATCAAAGCAAAATAACCAAATCTGGCTGCATAACATGCCTAAATGTACTGAGTTGTTTCCTTTTGACTGAATATTTAATTTGATATTTAAAAAGGTACCTTATGACTTGTATATTTCTTCTTTTTAAGCATAAGCATGATTCCACTACCTGAAATTCCTTTAGCAAACAATTATAATCTCAATATCTAGCCGTATATATTGTGAAAAATGAGATTAGCTACCAATCTAACAACTCTGCATTGTTTTTGTCCATCCCTTCATGCGTTTAAAGCCTGAGTGTGGGGGGGGGGGGGGTCATTGGAATTCTCAGCGGTCTAATTAAATATTTGTTTTATTGCTATGCAGATGCAGACGAGTGTGCAGAAGGTTCAGATGACTGCCACATCGATGCCCTCTGCCAGAATACGCCCAAATCCTACAACTGCATCTGTAAGCCAGGCTATACGGGAGATGGGAAGCAGTGTGAGGGTAAGTCTCTGATCCTTCATTCGGTTCATCATCCACATCACTTTGATCTAACCCTCGTCTATTTTGCAAACTTAAATGGAAAAGCAAATAACTGAGGAACTTTAAGCCCAAATTACATGTGTGATACATCATTTGAAAGCTAACACCTTTCAGTTTCTGAAACTATAAATGACAATAGTGAGTAAATCACAAATCACAGCCCAAGCTGCATCAGTTCAAACATGACTCAAGGTTGGGTTTTTTTTATTTTATTGCTGCATTGATCCAGTCTCAGCTGTGTTCCACTGTTACTCAAGCCGCTAACACGGCTCTGCTTTATATAACCCATGTTTAGCCTTGTTTCAAACCTTATCTCATTGGCTACAAAGCCAAACAGTCCATATGGTCTCAACCAATAACAGCAGGACTCTATGAGGCGTAATACCGCTCTACTCGGAGCACCATTGGCTGGAAGGCAGGGAGCGCTTGTGAGACTTCAGCGGCTGTTCCTGACTCAAATGGATTCATACAAAGATGCAGAAACTTTTGTCCTGTAGATAAGAAGATGATGAAAAGAAACATACCAAACACCGCGGGCTAGCAACTGAGGAAATAAGTATTAGGAAGTAAATATTAGCAAGATGCTAAGCATCAGTTGTGACCAGCTAACCTTTCTAATGTCAACAATCGGACGTTATGGGCGATTTTCTCATCATGGAATATTTTTATTACTAATATGCTGGATTACTTTTAATCTGTGGACCCTGATGGACAAATGGAGTATAAACAATTGAAGACTGGATTTATCTAACGGCTTCTGGACACCTTCAAAGGGATGTAGTTGAGTCAATTGGTCATGTTTACATGTTGACATGCTGATATATCTGTGTTAATTGTGCTTTGATGCTCGATGTGTCCATAAAATGAACTTGGTGGTTGAATTGTGGAGAATCTAAGCTTTCCAATGATGTCTGACATCTATATTGGTAAACGTTTTACCGGTGACATTTTCATGCATTCTGAGTTGTTAGTTGTAAACTCTTTAAAACGATTCACCGGCGACCCGGTGGGTTTGGACAGGATGGAGAACAGGTGGTAAAAATACACCGTTGCCTTACAGATGAAAGGTAATTCAAACCTTACAGAAAGGTGTTTGCTCTGCTACAGCAGCTTCCTGGTCTAACAGATTGTTCCCTGACCAGCTTAGGAACTGTGGGCTAAAATGTGTCTAGAGCCAGACGGTACCTTCAGCATCTTTATTACTTACAGTTTCTGTGTCATTAAGCTGGTAGCTAATTCAGTCACACAGTGGGCTGGAAGAAAACCTACAGATGGGACATAAACTGTGCAGAATTATTAAGCAATGAGTATTTCCACCACATCGTCCTTTTCATACATGTTGTCTCCAAGCTGTTTAGGCCTGAAAGCCAACTACCAATGAAGTAAATCAGGTGGTGAGCATCTCTGTAATGAGAAGGGGCGTGGCCTAATGACATCAACACCCTATATAAGGTGTGCTTAATTATTAGGCAACTTCCTTTATTTGTCCAAATGGGTCAGAAAAGAGATTTGACAGATTCTGAAAAGTCAAACATTGTCAGATGTCTTTCAGCAGTTTGGAAATAACCAAGCTGTTGAAGCGGGATCATCACCAGTCAAGAGGTTCATGGCAAATGGCCAACAGGGGCGCAAGAAGCGTGTTGAAAAAAGAAGATGCTAAATAACTTCCAATGAACTGAGAAGAATGAAGCGTGAAGCTGCCAGGAAGCCATCAGCCACCAGTTGTTCCATATTTCAGATCTGCAACATGTCTGGAGCGCCGAGAAGCACAAGGTGCTCAATCCTCAGGGACCTGGCCAAGGTAAGGAAAGCTGAAAAAAGGCCACCTTTGAACAAGACGCACGAGACAAAACGTCAAGATTGGGCCAAGAAATCTCTGCAGACTGATTCCTCCAAGGTGTTTAGGTCTGATGGAATGAGAGAGAGTCTAGATGGTCCAGATGGATGGATGGGCACCAGGCTGGATCAGTGAAGGGCAGCAAGCTCCTCATCCACTCAGACGCCAGCAAGGTGGAGGTAGGGTAATGCTATGGGCTGCTATCATCAAAGATGAGCCTGTGGGACCTTTTCCGGTTGATGATGGAGTCAAGATCAACTCCCAGACCTACTGCCAGTTTCTGGAAGACGCCTTCTTCAAACAGCGGAACAAGAAGAAGTCGCCATCATTCCAGAAACACCTGATATTCCTGCAGGACGATGCTCCGTCACACGCATCAGAATACGCCACAGCGTGGCGGCCAGAAACACCTGATATTCCTGCAGGACGATGCTGCGTCAAACGCATCAGAATACGCCACAGCGTGGCGGCCAGAAACACCTGATATTCCTGCAGGACGATGCTCCGTCACACGCATCAGAATACGCCACAGCGTGGCGGCCAGAAACACCTGATATTCCTGCAGGACGATGCTCCGTCACACGCATCAGAATACGCCACAGCATGGCGGCCAGAAACACCTGATATTCCTGCAGGACGATGCTGCGTCACACGCATCAGAATACGCCACAGCATGGCGGCCAGAAACACCTGATATTCCTGCAGGACGATGCTGCGTCACACGCATCAGAATACGCCACAGCATGGCGGCCAGAAACACCTGATATTCCTGCAGGACGATGCTGCGTCACACGCATCAGAATACACCACAGCATGGCGGCCAGAAACACCTGATATTCCTGCAGGACGATGCTCCGTCACACGCATCAGAATACGCCACAGCATGGCGGCCAGAAACACCTGATATTCCTGCAGGACGATGCTGCGTCACACGCATCAGAATACACCACAGCATGGCGGCCAGAAACACCTGATATTCCTGCAGGACGATGCTCCGTCACACGCATCAGAATACGCCACAGCATGGCGGCCAGAAACACCTGATATTCCTGCAGGACGATGCTGCGTCACACGCATCAGAATACGCCACAGCATGGCGGCCAGAAACACCTGATATTCCTGCAGGACGATGCTGCGTCACACGCATCAGAATTTCATTTCATTTATTGTTTATTTGAAAGGGGACAGTGTACATTAATAAACATTAAAACAATGTAAATATACCCAAGTTAGCTAAGGTGTGCTAATTTTCATTGGTAGTCCCCCAGCCAGATATTAAAAAGGCAACCTAGAATGTTAACCATCAGCCTGCTTACAGCCTCTTTTGTCTTCACCTTTGATGCGTTCCTCAGGCTCTGTTTTTTTTCAATTTGGCTCCAGATGACTTTGAACCCTTTTTTTGAACTAATTCTTTGGGATTTCCTTCTTTCTGTCCTTTTTGAGCCTTTCCGCTCTTTTTCTTCTTCTTCTTGTCCTGCTGTTGTGCTGTCGGTGGGTCATTTTCTCCTTTTTCCTCTGATGCTTTCTTCTGTCCTTTTTTCTCTGCTTTGGCTTTCTTCTTCATGAGGAAGCGAGGAGTTGTGCAAATGGTGTCTCTCTTAGGAGGTTTCTTCTCTAGTCTTCGCTTTACTTTGCTGTGGATCTTTTTGAAGCCGATCATATAGTCCGGTACAGGGCACCCAGCTTGTTTAATAACATTAGCAATGCTCCGCAGCAATGGTTTGTCGTTTTCCGTAAAGAAAGTGATGGCCTTTCCCCGATGTCCTGCCCTTCCCGTACGACCGATTCTGTGGATATATTCCACAGCACTCGTCGGGAAGTCATAGTTCAGCACCAGGTTGACACCTTTGAAGTCGATTCCTCTGGCGAGCAGAGCCGTGCAGATCAGCACCCAGATCTTACCCGAACGAAAGCTGTTCACCACGTTGTCCCTCTGCTGCTGCGTGCGTTCGGCGTGGATCACGTCAACATTGATGCCTTCGTACACCAACTCGTGGAAGAGCTCCCGCGCTCGCTCTATGGACTGAACGAACACCAGCATGGGAGGCAGGAAGCCTTTTTTGATGAGGTCCCTCATGGCCACGAGCTTCCCGTTCTCTGTCCCGACGAACAGCAGCTCCTGTTCCACCGTCTCCACTGCTGCATTTCTGTGTCCGATGTTTACAGAAACCAGGTTGTCAAGGTTCAGACGGCACCACTGTTCCACCTCTTGCGTACAAGTAGCGCTAAAAAAAGCCCTGCGCACCTTAGCGTTGGAACATGCAAGGAAAATGGTCGCCAGCTGCTCCCTGAAGCCCGTCTTTCCGTCCTCAAAAAGCTTATCAGACTCGTCAACAACCAGCCACTCCACACTGCTCAGGTTGATTCCTGGAGGATCCTGATTGAGAAGGTAGATCAGTCTGTTTGGAGTACTGACGAGTATATCATACTTTTTATTGGACTGCGGACCGTATTTCTTAGCTGCCAGAGAAGCTTTATCAATGATATGAACTCTGAAGCCGACGCCCTCCGATAGGCGCAGCAGCTCCCTGTAGGTCTGGCTGGCCAGTTCTCTGGTTGGAGAGATAATCAGAGCTCTGAAGCCCAAGTTTGCTGGCTGCTGCAGGTGAGCGAGCAGAGGAAGAGAGAAGGCCAAAGTCTTTCCAGATCCTGTAGGAGCACAGGCTAACAACTCCCGACCATGCATCATGAGCGGTATGGCCTGCATCTGTATCGGTGTTGGCGTGTTTAGTCCTGCTTCCTTGAGGTTTTGGATGACGCGCGGGTTGATATGATACTCAGACTGAAGCTCCTCAAATGAGCAAACTGGGTCAGGCACATCACTGCCATGAACATTTATACGGTGCTGTGCGCGGATACGATTCACCTTCTCCTGATGAAGATGCTTCAGCCTCTTAAGCGAGGATTTCTCTTCCCCATCTTTCTGTAGGTTTTGGATCTTTCTGTCCAGGGAGGAGGTCCAGGTGATGCCACCTTTCTGGGTCTCATTCAGCGGCCTGTTATAACCTTTCTCATCCACCTGATTGATTTTAGTTTTCTTGTTTTTCTGCTTTACGTCTTTTTCTTGCACTTTGTGCTTTCTTTTGCCACCCTCCTCTGAGTTTTCACTGTCACTGCTCTCACAGTCTTTCTTCTCCTCTTCATTCTCTCCTTGGCTCCAGCTCTGGACTCCATTAGCCGCCCCTGGGCCGAAGTAGTTGATCCCAGAAAGGGAATCCAGCGATAGTTCCCCACCCTGAGATCTGGCCACCTTAAACCGAGCAGCGTCTTGGCCAAATCTCTTTAAGTCAAATTTAGCTCCGGCCCCGAGTTTCTTAAACAGTTCAAAAGCGTCCATTGCTGCGGCAGCAGCGTCGTCCATTGCTGCGGCAGCGTGGCGGCCAGAAACACCTGATATTCCTGCAGGACGATGCTCCGTCACACGCATCAGAATACGCCACAGCGTGGCGGCCAGAAACACCTGATATTCCTGCAGGACGATGCTGCGTCACACGCATCAGAATACGCCACAGCATGGCGGCCAGAAACACCTGATATTCCTGCAGGACGATGCTCCGTCACACGCATCAGAATACACCACAGCGTGGCGGCCAGAAACTTCCAAAATATGAACCTTTCATATTAAGGAGTCTCTTGGGTTGATTGAGAACACAAATGTGGCTCCATAATAAAAATAATCCTCAAAAATACAAGTTGCCTAATAATTCTGCACACAGTGTAGATGCTTATATGTTGGAAATCAGGCTTTGGGAATAATGCATGTAAGATTGTAGCACAAACTGAATATCAACATGCAAATAAAAATCAAGATGGTGTCTCTTTTTCCTGCAGGTTGCTTTTAATGAGGAAAAGTGAGAAGTTTGTTTCTCTTAGGTTCAGTCTTCTATTGTGTGTAAAATGCAGTCATTACATCGCTGTGCTTTAAAGGAGCCTCTTTAATACCTTTGCAAAGCAATTAGTTACAGTAGGATGGAAATCTGTTTACAGTTCATTACAGCAACACGTCTTATTGGACGTTTCTCTAAAATTCTGTCGCACTGGATGGAAAAGGTCTGGGAACAATTCTCAGGTCTCTCTCCGCTGATTTTTAAAAGGTTTTAGTTCTGGACTTTGACTACGCAGTTTTAGCACATCATAATACATCCCTGTATTAAAAAGAATCATCATTTCCATCCATCTTCCCTTCAACTGTCCAGAAAAGCAGGCCCACATCATGATATGACCGCCGCCATGCGTCACTGTAAAGATGCGCAGTTTTGGGTTTCCATAATATTTGTGTTGGTCAAAAGGTTTGCTGTGGCCCCTACGGTTAAACCCCGCAATAGTAAAATAAAAAAAGTCTAAATCATTCCCCAAAATATTCATAACAAATGTATAAATGATGGAAAGTATTTCTAAGACATTATTTTAAAGTCTTCCTCTCGTCACTAGGGGGTGCTGCTGCATGAATCCACCCTAACCCTATCATGCTATCTGTTTATCAGACGCTAACTGGACATAAACAAATTATCAGTATCACTTATTTTCCCGACATGAGGCTCAGAAATGTTTTTTTTAGGTGAACAAAAATCTGGACATAATTGTAATGACTTAAAAAAAAATCACTTTTTGTGAATCATGTTCACATGATGTCACAACCTTTAAAAGCATTACGAAGTTTTCTAATGGTGCTGCCACCTGTGGTGAAAACACAGAACTGCAGCTCTGTTCTGCTTCTTGCAGCTCGCGCTTTTAAAGTTTTCATTTGGTGTCTGGGTTTAAATAGATGCTGGTTGTTTCTCAGTTTTCACATCTTGAATATAAATCTTTGAATGTTTGGTTTGACCTTTTCAACATGGAGGCTCATGACGTCACATCTGCCGAACAGAGCGGGAACTTCTGATTGGCTCCAGGCTGATGGACGCATCACTGAGTTACTGTTTGCTCATCAAACCATGTTTTAGACCTTGAATAAAAAGGCCAGTTTGAATGTATTTTTCAGCAGAAACTCTCAAAATGTTTCTTTAAAACTCAAAGAATCAAAAAGAATGAAATAGTTAACATGTTTCTATTTTAAGGTTATGAAACAAATATACATCACATTACCCACCAAGTTTCCAATAAGCTGGTTATGCTGGCCTTTAAATCACGCTAAAATACCAGGATTTTAAAAATAAAATACTTTAACAAATAGTTTTGTTTATTTGTCCTTATTTAATTAGAGATCATCTAAGCACCAAAACCCATAAACTAAGGAAAATAAAAAGTTATTTTTAAAGCTTAAACACACTGCTCTTTAATGACCTGCTAATTCAGTTTGTCTCGCTAAACTCAGACCTCAGCTGCTAAAGTTCACCTGAAACTGACCTGATGACATCATTTCTAAACGTTAGCTTCATCTTCTGATTTAATGTGATCTTTGTTTCTAAACCCTCTTAGGGCTGAATGCTGTAGCTGCTTTCTATCCAAGCTTTAGCTTTTCTACACTGAAGCTTAACTCTTAAAATCTGGTGCCTAAAGGTAAAACTGAGGGGAATAAATACTACAGGACAACATGTTTATATATTGTTGGTGAAACTTTGAAAATCAAGTGTTTCCTTTCTTGGTTCTTTCTAGTTTTCAGCTCCAGGCTGATAGACTATCACATGAAATCCGTCTAGTTTAAAAGATTTATTTTCCTTTTCACAAACATTTGCAGGCAAGCAAAGATAAAACACACTATCACACCATTAGAGAATGTAAATAAAATGACTTCTATATCTTGTGAGAGGATTGTGCTTTCTGTGTCACATACGTTCATGTGGTCACCTCATCATCCAGTATATCAGAAGTGGAAAGAATGAGTCTAATTAGATCCATAGTCAGGATAAGGCCCGTAGGTCGGGACTCCACTACATGTTGGATCCCATTCGTCTCTTTACTAACACCATGAGATCAGGCAGGACTCAGCACTCCCCCCCCATCCATGGAAGAAGCAACAGCTCCTGACAGCCCCTCCAAATGAAGACGGATGGCGGATGGGAGGACACCCCTGACCCTGGTGATTAGATATGAAGGCTGTAATTGGCTGACTGTGTTTTCCATCAGCAGACATTATTGGCCATTTTTCTAGCCAGCGCCATTATGGGCTCTGCTTTTCCTGGAAGCACCTGAAAGCAGCCGAGCCGCTGCACTCCCTCTCTGCGTCCCTCAGGTCGTCTCTGGTTCTCCGTTATCAGCGTCAGCCTGTATCAGCAGACAGGCAGTCAGCGCTCCAGGAAAATATGCACAACTGGATAAAACCAAGAACAACTTTTTCACTTCACAGAAATTTATTGGCCTAAAATGTATCAGTTCAACACTTATTGAGTAAAATAAGTCAAACCCCATTATACACAATAAATGTTTTATATTTTATGATATTAAGTGTATTTCACTCAGCTGTGACAATGATTCAGTATATTAGAATAAGGCTTTGTTTCTTTTACTTCTTTTATCCATCCATCCGTCCGTCCGTCCGTCTAACCGTCCGTCCGTCCGTCCATCCATCCATCCATCCATCCATCCATCCATCCATCCATCCATCCATCCATCCATCCATCCATCCATCCATCCCACTCTGGATGGTGCAGCTCTTCTTTCTAGGAATCTGGCCACATCTATTAGTCCTCCAAAACCCTGACCCCCCAGGGTGCAGACCAGGAAGCAGAGTCCTAGTTTAGCAGACCTCTCTGCAGCTTCTCTACTGTTACCCACTCTTTACTCCATCCAGACAGTGTCTTGCCCATGACCAAAATCTAATAAATTAGCAAATATTCCCAAAGGAGGAAATCATGATAATCTAATAAAAATAACTCCAATTGGGGAAAAAGTTAAAAGGATTAAATCTGGTCTGTTTAACATAAGATCTCTTTCCTCTAAAAGTCTACTAGTTAATGACTTGATTTGTGATAATCACATTGACTTGTGTTGCCTTACAGAAACCTGGCTGCAGCAAGGGTGTAACTGTGCGATAAAAGTTGGTGGGGGCGCTCTAAGGGTGGGGCATTCTAAGGCTGGGGGCGCTCTAAGGGTGGGGGCGCGCTAAGGGTGGGGGCACGCTAAGGGTGGGGGCACGCTAAGGGTGGGGGCGCTCTAAGGGTGGGGGCGCGCTAAGGGTGGGGGCGCTCTAAGGGTGGGGGCGCGCTAAGGGGGGGGCGTGCTAAGGGTGGGGGCACGCTAAGGGTGGAGGCACTCTAAGGGTGGCGGCGCCTTAAGGGTGGAGGCACTCTAAGGGTGGGGGCGCCTTAAGGGTGGGGGCACCTTAAGGGTGGGGGCGCTCTAAGGGTGGAGGCACGCTAAGGGTGGGGGCATGCTAAGGGTGGAGGCGCTCTAAGGGTGGGGGTTCTCTAAGGGTGGGGGCGCTCTAACGGTGGGGGCGCGCTAAGGGTGGGGGCTGATGGCCCTACAGCTACTCAACCCAAACGCTTTCAATAGGGTTTATATTTTCAAAAAATGAGCTCAAACATCTATTTATTAAATGCTTTCCTATTGTTGAGAACACAATAGAACCACAGCACTCTGATATTTATAGATCTAGACAGATGGCTGCCTTTAGTGCTTTATTTATAAAGGGTTTAAAAACATTAATGTATAAAAAAAGTCAAATAACAGCCGATATGGATGCCAACATCAATAGATCCTGCATCCCTAGAATGGACACAACTTCACTTCCATCCATCCATCCATCCATCCATCCATCCATCCATCCATCCATCCATCCATCCATCCATCCATCCATCCATCCATCCATCCATCCATCCTTTTGCTGGTTTCTTATACTTTAATTTTCAGTCTGTTTTCTGTGAGTCTGTTTCTCTCTGGGTTGCAGATATTTCTGAGTCCTGCTGAACCACAAAAAACAAAATTATATGTTGAATTTTATTATAGCATTGCATATTTTGTCTTGTAAACTTGATATATTTTATTGCATGTTGCATATCCCAGTAAATCTGTTTCACATTTAAATCAGCAGTTCTCCCTAATTGTGTCTCTGCTTAAAATCAGATTGATGAACCAGTCTACCAATATAATGATGCCAGAGAAAATCATTTTCAGGATCTCTAGAAGCTCTGCAGCCTGATTCTCTGTTCAATCTGAAAACAACAGATCTGTGTTCATTTTAATCTGGAACTCTGAGTAATGCTCCTCTGAGGAGCCCAGCTTTTTTTAAATCATATAAATCACCATCTGTTGCCATTTTTAGCTGAAAAAGCTCTGTATGTGTAACAAACAGATTTTTCGGTGGTATCTCTGTCTCCTAAGTTTTACCTAAACATATATTGGAGTAGCTGCCAGTTAAAATTAACTGAGTGCTGCTGTGAATTTATGTTAAAACTGCTTGCCATAGT